TCAGGGCTCAGTCTATGAGAGGCAACAGAATGCTAATAAGATTGTAAGCATATTTACAAGACCCAACTTGCACAGCTTCTCTTCAGCCAGTCTACTCTTGCTGAAAGATGGTCTGTATTGCATCAGCAGGTGCTTTCTATGGCACAATTTGCCTGGTTAGCAACCCTGTCCCACACTGGTAGCATGTGAAGAACTGCCGCCAGCTTGAGCTATCTGAGGGATCATAAATAGTGCCAGCTAAAGATGATGTCATTCTGGCTACACTTACGCATCTCCTGTCCAGTGTGAACTCGTTAGTGTTTAATGAGGTCATTCTTGAGGATAAATGCCTTACCAGACTGACAACATTCATATGCTTTCTCTCCAGTATAAATTCTTCAATGAAAAGAACCAAATTACATTAGTACATTACCATTTGGGAAGCAGAAGCATATGGATCTCAAATTCAAGGCCAGCCTGGACTACAGAGCTAGTTCCAGGATAGCCAAGGCTAAATAAAGAAACCCTTTCTTGAAAAGCCAAAAGAATAGTTTGTTATCTGTGATGTACCCATGTATAATTCAGGAACACTGGAGACAAGGTGGACAAATCTCTCTGATGTCTAGAAGAGCATAGACTATATAGTGAGTTCCAGGCCACCCAGAGTTTCATAGTGAGAGTATTCTTTAAAATAAAAGGGAAAAAAATAGAAAACAGGAGCACTTTTTTTCATTGTGACTAATTTAGAACAGCAATGAAGATATAAGGCAATTAATTCATCCTTGGGGTCCTAATAGGTTTAGATAAAAAGTAAGACATATGTACAACAAAGTAATATAACTAAGTCCTATGGTTAGATATTACCCATTTCTAATCCCTCCCCAACCTCAGCTCCTGTCTCTCCTCCAAGGAGGTTTCTTTAGTACAGATAGTCTTATCAGCAGCCAGTCTTTTCCCAGAATAAAAATTATCAAGGAAATAAGAATTTCAAGGTATCCACTATTTCATGAGTTGTTAGCCAAAGGGAGCTATATAAAAGTGTCATAGAATATCCTTATTCATGCCAAGAGGCAGGTACCAGAGATTGATGGGTTGGAGACAGAGAATCCTTAAAGTCCCAGTGGGGGCCACAACATGGGGAATGTAGGGTACTGTCACTGACAAACTACATGAATTGACAAAAGAATACAAGACCTAGATGTATCCACGAGTTGAGTGGATAGAATATAGTTCATACCAACTGGTCCTCATGTACATCTCAAGAACTGCTCTCGGGCATTTGAACTTCAGGATTTCACAGCCAAACCTAACCATTTTTAAAATTCCACAACTTTTGTAAATGCCTGAATGTCTTAACTTTAGAGTGACTTAAGTTCAAGTCTCAGGCTCTCCTCACAACCTGCATGTCATCAAGAGTGATCACCATTCAGGGCACTGGCATTGCAGGCATCAGGGAAACAGAATATGAAACCATTCAAACACGTCAGACTTCATGCCTGCAAGTTACTTTTCTTTCCTTACACGAGGTAGAAATTTAATCAGAGGTACACCTGACATGTGAGACTATGGGCTCCAATTGGAGGTTATTGACCTTACTGGAGATAAACTCACTCTTGTAACTCTGGTTAAATAGTCAACCATCTTTAAAAGACTTTCATTGTCAGTTTCTCTAAGGATCATTCACTGTACTTTCCCCACATTTTGTGGAGATTTTGGCTTGGAAAAATCTTTATGCACCAAATCAAAGTTAATTTTTGATTCTATCCATCTTCTTTGTCATCAAGGCCTAGGTAAAGATGCACTTAGATCTGCTAAACACACCTTACTGCTATTAATGACATGTTCATGGGGCTGCATAGAAAGGTCAACACTTAAAACACTGGCTGTTCACCCACAGGGCCTGACTTTTGATTCCCAGCACCCAAAAGATAGCTCACAACTGCCAGTTCCTCCAGTCACACGGAATCAGACAGCATCTTCTGGTCACTACTGGTTCCTGGCATGCCATTGGTATACTCACTGGCAAAACTTATACACTTATATTAAATTTCAATCTTTTCTAAGGAAATAGATACATGAAGAAAAACCTTTTTAAAACTATATAATCATATACACATTTGTCTGTCCAACGTTTGCATATCTGATTCCCTACGAGGCCAGAAGATTGCACCAGATCTCCAGGACCAGAAAGCAAAGGAGTTGGTCTGAAGAATCAGATATTGGTGCCAGGAATTAAACTTTGGTATCCAAGAGGAGCAGCACTACTGAGCAAACTCTCCAGCTCATAATAATGCTGAAGGTGAAAATGAGCTACTATTCCTTCTGTCTTGTATCACTTGAAGGTGAGGAAAGTCCCCTCTTGATGGTTGTCAAATAATTCAATCAATTTCTATACCTCTCCACATTGCTTCTCAGTTTCACTGTTAACACTGTTCTCTTGATGTAACATAACAAAAGCTTTTTTTGAAACTAGTCAGAGTCCAGACAGATTATGGTAGGAAAAGTTCCACAATTTGAGATAATATTGTATTTTTTTGGAATTTTTGACACAAGGTATGTCCACAAAGCCATGGCTGCAATGGAATTCACTATGGGCACCAAGATAGCCACAGACTCAGAGATGGGCCCAACACAATCCTGCAAGTGCTGGGATTTTAGTGATGCACCACTAAGTCCAGGCGAGGTATCTGTTTTTAAATGACCTATGATTTAATCAGAGACTAAAAGGATCAAGTATGATTTAAAAGGGAACATCATTGTTCTGATGAACAATAATATTGCTTGAAATTCTATAATTGAAATATATAACCATTTAAAATGTACACAATTGAGTTATTTTCTTTGCTTTATTAATTTTATGCATGTTTAACTGTGTTTGTGTGTAAACACCTGAGCCATGTGTATGTACCACTGAGAGGACAACTCACAGATGTCTATTTTTTTCTTCCCCTATGTGAGTTTAATGACCACAAAATAAACTTCACTAAATGGAAGTGTCACACATGGAGTACACTTTAGTATCTACATCAAATGTTTCAATATAGAAACTACAACGCAGTGATCTGAACCATTAGTCTTCAGCGAACACAGTCAGTAATTTACTTCCATCAAGGCTATGATGAAAACAGAATAAAACACTTGTTTTTCTTGTAGCTGAAGACAACTGTGATGTCTAAACTCTTTACAAAATCATTTTCAGGAAAATAGTTTTCTTCAGTGTGAATTTATCCCTATTTCCTAACTTTGGATTGAAACAAATAAGCTTTAAAATATTTAGAGCAGTAAAAAAATGTCTGGGCAGTAAAGAAATGTTCACTTCCAGGACCAAGGTCTGATTTCTGATAAGTTCCTGTAATTTCTGCTATAAAATCCTATGATTTAATATATCAGAAACAAGCATGCACATTCACATACCCATACAAAGAACACTGATACCGCATAATCACAATCAAAACAACTCTTTAAACATTTTCAGTCATGAAAGTTTTTCTCTTGTAAGAATTCATTTCTG